GCCCCACTTAGCTCCATGCTCCAGGGGCGAAGGGCGAGTGTGAGCCTGAGCCTGGCCTTGGCTGCCTCAGAGGCTCAGGCCCTGCTCTCCCCCTCTCCCTCCCCCTCCAGCCAGGCCTGGGGGTTTGCCATCCTTTTTGCAAATCGGCTCTTGCAGGCTGGAGCTGCGCCAGCCTGCAAGAGCTTTTTGCAAAAGCGGAGAATCCACGGATTTCTCTGCTAAAAAGAGAAATCCACGTTTTCTCCGATTAAAAACTGGGAATCCGTGGTTTTGTACGATTTTCCATGGGAAGCAGAAAACCCAGATCCCTGGTAATCACACCACCTGGTCTTCAACTTAAACAAGCACCTAGGAGGCTGTGTGACTGAGGTCCGCCCCACAGACATGGTGGTGGGTACATGCCATACCCCTAGGCTTCCAGGTCTGGTGGGAGCACCCACCCTTGGTGACGCAGAGGTCTTTATCCAGACAGAGTCAATGGTCCCAGGCTGCACGCAGACAGAGCCCTTGACTCCAGGCTGCAAGGTCTGCCTGGCATGTTAGATGGAGACTGGGAGTAGGGCCACTGGCACCTCCGCTTGTGGCATGTGCTCCCTGGTGAAGGCTCTGAAGGGCCTAGTGAGGGAGTTCCAGGAGGAGGTGAACAGGCTGTGAGTCATCAGGGAACATGAGGCAGAGATAGATGCGTACTGCTGGGCCCTGCACCCAGAGAAGGACGCCATGGAAACCGAGCAAAAGAACAAGCTTGAGCGAGATGCCCCTATCAATGTTGGGTGGAAGTTGGTCACATCAGGCCCGAAGTCACGAGGTGGGTCAGTAGTTCCACCAATAGAACATGCAGCTATGCAGCCCTTGCATCACAACAGCTATGCAGCCTTTGCATCATCGACATGGAGGGGCTTCCGTGTCCGCTGCTCTGCAAACCGGACAGGAACAGCCACCCCCCACCAAGGAAACAATGAAGGGTAATTGTTGTGGGAGACTCCTTGCTATGAGGCACAGAAGGACCCATTTGTTGTCCGGACCCCCTTGTGGGAGAGGTCTGCTGCCTTCCAGGAGCCAGGATCCAAGATGTCACAGAAAGGATCCCTAGGCTGGTCCACCCTATGGACCACTACCCCATGCTTCTTGTCCATGTGGGCACCAATGATACGGCAAGAAACAGCCCTGAGAGAATCATGGGTGAATACAAGACCATGAGGGTGAGGCTCAAGGACCTAGGGGCACAAGTGGTTTTCTCAATCCTCCCAGTCAAGGGCCAAGGCTGATGAAGGGAGGAGTGCATCAAGGAGGCCAACTGAAGGCTTCGGAGATGGTGTCACTGCATAGGCTATGGATTCCTCAACCTAGGTAGACCATTCAAAAGCAGTGGGCTACATGCAAGGGATGGTATTTACCTCACAGGCAGAGGGAGAAAGCTCTTCTCTATGAGAATTGGCGACTTGCTGAGGAGGGCTTTAAACTAGACACGACTGGGGGTGAGGGGGGAGGCTCCATTGTTGTATACGAAGCCACTACTGTACATGAATCCTCTTTCCATGATGCCCTGAGAGAGGGCATTGAAGTAGTGGACACCCAGATGAGCACCAACATCCTGAGACACTTGCATAGTAACAGAAAACCTGAGGTGACCAGAGGGGAACTCAGGTGCCTTTATGGGAATGCCAGAAGCATGGGCAACAAACAGGAGGAACTGGCTCTCCTTCTGATAGGCAAAGATTTTGACCTTGTCGAGTTGACGGAGACCTGGTGGGATGACGTGTATGATTGGGTAATGGATATCGACAGCTATAGGCTCTACAGGAAGGATTGCATTGGGGAGAAGAGAGGAGGGGTGGCCCTCTATGTGAAAGAGAGGTAGCCCTCCCTGCAGGTCAGGTTTGATAGCAGAGAGACGTCCCTCAAGACCCTCTGAGTCAAGATACAGGGGGGTTCAGGAGAGAGAGACATGATGGTGGGAGTCTACCACAGGCCTCTCTCCCAAGAAGAGGAGAATGATCAGGCATTCTCCAGGGACCTGGCAGAGGCAGCCAGCACCAAAAACCTGATTGTCACAGGTGACTTCAACTACCCTGACATCTGTTGGGGGGACCATTTGGCCAGCTCCAGCAGGTCACCCAATTTCTTGGCAACTTTTGATGACCTGTTCCTGTCACAGGTTGTTGAAGGACCGACCAGGGGGAAGCCACTCTGGACTTAGTGTTTACCAAAGGGGAGGACATGGTAGGCAACCTTAGGATTGGTGGTACTCTGGGTGACAGTGACCACAAACTGATTAAGTTCACCATTTACCAGAAGGCTAGGATTTCAGTTAGCAGAACAGAGGTCCTAGATTTCAGAAGGACAAACTTTAACAAACTCAGGAGACTAGTTAGAAAGGCCATCTGTGACCAGCAACTGGAGGATTTGGGAGTTCAGGAGTGATGGTACCTCCTCAAGGGAGCAATCCTCTCTGCTCAAAAAGAGGCTGTTCCCATGATATAAAAAAGCAGGGAAGGAGTCAAGATACCTGCTTGGCTCAACAGGGTTATTAGAAAACTCTTGAAAAAGCAAAAGGACACATACAAGCAATGGAAAAAAGGATCAGCAACCAGAGAACAGTTCACTAATATAACCAGGGTGTGCAGGTATGAGATACAAAAAGCCAAGACAGCATAGAAATCAAGCTAGCATCCAAAATTAAGGACAACACAAAGTCCTTCTACAGATACACAGGGAGCAAGAAAAAATCGAGTTCAGCTGTGGGTTCCCTGCTAAATATGGAGGGGCAGCACACAGTAGATCCCCATGAAAAAGTTGAGCTCCTAAATGGTTACTTCACATGGGTATTCCAGAAAACTAACAGGAGCTGTGCACCTGTCTGGAGGCCCAGGGAATATGGGGAGGTCAAAAGACTACATGAAATCAGCTCCGACCAGGTGAGGGTCCTTTTAGAACAACTGGACTTTTTCGAGTGTGCTTGGTCAGACGACCTACATCCAAGAGTTGTAAAAGAACTGACTGAACTCATAGCAAGGCCTTTGGCAAAGATATTTGAAAAGTCATGGAACTCGGGAGTGGTCCCAGACAACTGGAAGAGGGCCAACATTGTACCTATCTTTAAGAAAGGGAGGAGGGATGACCCTGCAAACTATAGACCAGTCAGTCTAACTTCGGTCTGAGGAAAAACTTTTGAGAGCGTTATTAAGGAGGCCATCAGTCACAAACTTGTAACTGACAGGGTGTTAAGAAACAACCATCACAGCTTTGTGGAGGGTAGATCATGCTTAACAAACTGGTGTCCTTTTACAACCAGGTAAGTAACCAGCTGGACAAGGGACGTGAGGTAGACATCATCTGCTTTGATTTCAGTAAGGCTTTTGACTCCGTCTTCCATGAAATTCTCTCAGTTCAACTGTACAGGCCTGGACCAGTCTATGGTGAGATGGATGGATAACTGGCTTAGAGGCCAGTCCCAGCGATGGCCTCATCCTGGATGTCTCCAGTGGTGTCCCACAGGGATTGGTGCTTGGACCCCTGTTTTTAACCTATTTATTAATGATTTGGACAAGGGGGTGGAATGCTCTGTGATTAAGTTTGCCAATAATACCGAACTGTGGGGAAATGCAAGCACACGAGAGGATAGGGCAAGGATCCAGGACAACCTAGACAGACTGGTTCTATGGGCAGATCAGAATCAGATGAGGTTCAACAGGGACAAGTGCCAGGCCCTTCATCTGGGTAGACAGATAGTTCACCATAACTATAGGATAGGCAGTAGCCCGTTGGCTGGCGCAACATCTGAACGAGACCCGGAGGTGACAATTGATCAGAAAATGAGTAGGAGCCAACAGTGCGATGAAGCTGCCAGCAGGACAAATAGAACTCTGGCAGGCATCAGTGATGTGTTGCTAATATATCCAGAGAGGTGCTCCTCCCTCTCTATTCAGTGTTGGTGAGGCTGCAGCTGGAGTACTGTGCCCAGTTTGGGCACTGCACTTCAAGAAGGATGCGGATAAGCTCGAGAGGGTGCAGAGAAGGGCCACCCGCATGATCCTGGATAGGCCCTAGGAGGAGAGACTCGGAGAACTAGGCTTGTTCAGCCTGAGTAAGAGGAAGCTGAGAGGTGACCTATAGCCACCTACAAGTATGTCAGGGGGAAGCACCAAGATCTGGAGGAGCAACTCTTCAGGAAGGCAGCCCTTGGAAGTACAAGGACCAACGGGCAGAAACTAACAGAGGGAAGATTTAGATTAGAACTTGTATATATAAGGAAGAACTTCTCTGTAAGAGTAACTAGAACCTGGAACACACTCCTGGCAGAGGTGGTGCGGTCACCATCCCTGGAGGTGTTCAAGACAAGCCTGGATAAGCAAGCACCTCATTGAGCTAGTTTAAGCTCAATAACCTCTTGCCCATGGCAGGGGACTGGGCTCGATGATCTTCCAAGTCACTTCTGGTCCTATGATTCTGTGATCTATCAGGGTTTCTGTACACTGTTTGTAACAGAGATTCAGTGCTTCCCTGTCCCCTCACATCTGTTTCTCTACATCCCCCCCCTGTTGTCTCTTTCTTTTACTTGGGAGTATAAGCTGTTTGGGGTAGGACCCATCTTTTTGCTGTATTTGTGCAATATCTAGGATATTGGCACCCTGATGAATGATGGGGCTTCTACATGCAACACCACTTACAAATATTAATAAGAATACTGTTTTGTCAGCCCCAGGTGCAAGCCTAAGATATTTTAACATGGTTTATCAGCAGCTGTTGCATCAGTATATCTAAACAGGGACAGGGAGTTTTTTATTGGCTAGCTGGGGTCTTCCTGACTTACTTGAGTAAGGATCGTGGAATTGGGTCCACTGCCTTTTAAAAAAAAAAACATTTGTAGGCAATAACATTTAAGGAATAAGCTAAATTCTTTGGTTGAAATTCCAGTGGCACCAAAATTTAGGGCTCCACTCGAAGCTCCAACACAAGATAATGTAAAGTATCCATGAAATTCTGGACCAGAAAAGCATAGGCAGAGACTGAGGGTCTGTGTTCCTGAAGACAGTTAGTGTTAGGTAGACAGATTTAAGTATATTTATATTTACATATCTCTTCAGGTCTGCTCCCACCAGATGTAAACGTGTGTGCTGGTGCATACAAGTCCCAGCGCATTTTCTGACTTAGCAGCCTGCCAGTTTATTCAGGACAAAGGTTGGACGGCTGCAAAGGGCCAAACGTTCTGTAACTTCTGGTCATGCAGAGTTGTTTTTGGAATGGCTCGCAGGGATTATTGCTTTGGTTGTTTTCTGAAGGAAAGCCATCTAGCTCAGCACACAACATTCCTTTGTTCTCATTTCAAGCACAATAAAGCCTGTATTTGCCACTCATTCCCTTACAGTCCCCTTGTATATGTCGTAGTGCTGTATTACAAAGATATTGGTGTCTCATCTCCACTTCTTGCATATGTTCTCTGTGTCCCCCATTAAGTTTTATTGTTTGCACTCTAAACAGTAAACATGTCTTTAAAGCCTTATTCACTTCCTTTTGTGGCTCAAAGCACTCTCCTGAGAAGTCACTGCCACACATACAGAGTTGGTGACCACAGCCCAGACTTGACATGTTTGTCCTAAAACTGTATCCTGTTCTCCCAGCCTTTGCTGATCCTGAGCAGCTGTACCTGGCACAGGGAGCTCCACAGAGCAGGGAAGTGGAAGATATTTTCTCTCAGGCTGCAGAGTTGGTTTTTTGTTTGTCTGTTTGTTTTATGAACATTTTTCATGTTTCAAGTCAAATCAACCAAATCAATTCCAAATCAGTGAGTCAGTCAAGAACCATAAGTGGCCCTACTACCGGCAAACATCGTCCACCCCCACCTGGGGCTTCAGATGTTTCCAAATCATTTGGCAGGCATCCTACATGCAGGCCCGGAGTCTTAGGGTTCAGATGCCCCGAGTTTTGATTGCCCTCAGCCATATGGCTACAGGAGCAAGCTAGGGAGGAGTCTCTCATTTCCATAAAGTGGGCATTAAGCCAAGATCTTCCCACTCAAGCAACAAGTGGGAGGTTAACTATACATTACTTCCATGGGTACTACTCCATGCCAGAAAAGAGGTTATCCCCAGCGACTAGGAAAACTGCCTTAGTGGTCACTTTTACTAGTGCTGTTCTGTTTTTGCTGCTGTAAACCTTGAGACTGTAATGGTCCCTGCTGATGTTGAATCCCTGCTACACAGGGGGAATTGATTGGTTGATCCACGTAGCTACAGATGCTCTTTCCTCTCATCCACTGCTACTAAGCACCATACAGCCTAGTGCACTGGCAAGCAGAAAAAGACTACAGAGACTGCAGACCCTCCATTGCAACATCTGTTCAATAAATCTATACTCCATGATCTCAGCAGATAGTAGCTGCTTGTTTGCAAGTTGGGTAGATATGTAAAGGTGGGAAGGATTTTGCTCTAGTAACAGCTGTACTTGTTGCTTTACTGTTTAATGTACACATTTGCATTTAAAGATGCAATAACCCCACATTTAACTTTACCAAATTTCCATGAAGTGTATAGTACTGATACTAGCTTTGCCAATGAGGCAAACACATTAGCACGGACCCTCTTTGTTTCAGAATGGCTCCATTGATGATGAGTATGATGTTGATGTGCTTGGCAATCTCATCTGCCACTTACCTCCAGCAGCTATACGTGGTGGAATGTCCCTGCAGGCAATGGCAGCAGCCCTTCACCAGTTCAAATTCTGCCACCAGCTCAGCCATGAGCAGAAGACAGAAATCAAATCCAGACTTATTGAGCTGTATGGGTAAGATCTTAGATGTACAGTAATGCTTTGGTTGGGGTTAATCCATACAAATACTAACCATTTGCTTTGTCCAGACAGAACTGCAGTAAAAACAAATCAAATCAACCTCTGTAATTGGCTGAGCCTGTAAGGCCCACTTTCATCTTGATGGCATTTCTCTGTTTGCATGTAATGTGATAAGCCTAATTTATCACTGCCCATGCTCTCAATAGAGTTAAACATCCTGACTGACAGCTCTGGGAGAAAGAAAAGAGTTATTAGTGGCAGAGATTGAAGGGCACACAGATCTTCTGGCATGAGGAGCTGGGGCATTTTCAGTGAGTCCCTAAAATAGAGGCAGGGAAGGGTAACATACAGGAAGCTTGTGGAGGTTAGGGGGAGCCCCTGGCATATGCAATCCACTTACCTAGAGAAACAATTAAACATACAACCCTCTGGAGTTAATTCACAACTGTCAGGATAAAAGCCCTATCGGAGCCTTACTCATGTATCACTTATACAAAGAAAATGATCCCAGCTCCCCAGATTAGAAGAATGCACAATTTCCTTCTCTTTTGTTCCTTTTGGGGAAACTCTTACATTTGAGATACTCAGTTCAAAACTACTACCCCCTACTTATCCTAAGCTAAGCTGTAGTACTCTCTCTCCACAGCCAGTCACTAAAAGCTGCTCATCATTTGTTGCTCTCTTTGAATCGCCTCCAAATTGTCAGCATTTATCTGGTAACCGAGTGCTCAGAACTGAATACATTAAAGAAAGGGTTAAAAATCAACTTTCTCTTCACACCAAGAAGTTGGATAACAGCAGCTCTACTGAAAACTGTGTTTTAGCTTTTAAACTGTATTTTTCATATACTGTACATGCACTTGACACAGCTTAACACAGATACAAGGTAACAAATCACATCCTGTGGAGCTAAGTTGTACTGCATTTAGTAACATGTTCATCTACCTCAGACATCATGATAATAGGGAAAATCCTGGAAATCCAATAGGACTTTGCTACTGTGATCATGCAGAAGCCTGCATGGAGCTTGATGGAAGGGGAGAAGAACTGATTACACTCCAAGATGTAGCAGCCACCCCAGGTGGGCTGGTAACTAAGCAACAGGCCACCTGTTGGGGAACATGAATACGTGACTGGTTAAACCAGGCCTTTGACCTTTATTCTGCAAATATTTAAGCATGAGAGCAAAGTTACAAGTATCTCCAAAATTAGGCTTTGGATATAGCATTTTACAGCAAACAATTGGTTTTATGTGTGCTTCGATTATAATAGTTGTCCCTTTCATGAAAAAGACAAGAGAAGTTTAAAATGGGGCAATCTTGTTATTTTGTAGATATGATGGCAATGAGCTGTTATAGATGCTGAAATAGAGGGATGCACTAAGAGGGTATTTGAAAGCTCTCTCTGGCTTTACAGATGGACCATAAATCAGGGAGTTAAAGAAAAACATGACCTGATGTTAACAAATCTAAAATAGCAGTTTAGCACAGAGACCTTGATCTTTCTGAGAGGATAGGGTATAAAAATGTGGCGTTTCAACACTAGCATTAGGCAGATGTGACGTTGCAGAAATTATTGATTTTTTTTTTTTAATATAGTTTTCCTAAACATTTTCTCAGCTCCCCAAGGAACTGGACAGCTGAAACAACACTGGATATTGGACCATTCATAGCTCTTTTGACAAAAGATGAATTAAATGTCCTTGCTGAAAAGGTATCCTTTCATTTAAATTTTTTAGAATGTAGATCATTTTTAAACTTTGCGATGGCAAATGTTATCGTTCAATTTAAAATGCATCGTCTTAGTACGGATACTGGGTATTGAATTCCCCTTGAAAGAAACCTTGTATATATTTTTGTCCAGTCCTTTATTCCTTGTCAATCAAAACTTGTATGGTTTAATCTGGGAACTCATGGTAATGTAATCAGTTATTTATGTAACCGCTTTAGTTAGTTGTATATTGTTGCATAGGATGATATAGTTGATGGGCCTACCCATTTTTTAAGCTTTACATGCAGCAGTGTTCCCTGCTTTCTCAATCCTGTTAACCCGATGTGTAGACTTACCTTGGTTGAATTAAAACTGTGTCTTTTGTCATTATTAACTGTGGGAGCACACAATGAGAGAGAGAGTCAGATGATCACTTGTACATTTACTGTTTTGCTTAAGAGCTAGTTCGGTATCAGCATCCTCAGACATCTAACATCCTCAGTCATAACGCTATATCTTGCCCTCCCAGAGAGTTGGGCTGTGTTTTCTTTTTCCTATCATTCTTTATAATCTTGTGATCTTTGTGTGTCAATGTAAACTCGTGAATCCACAGTACAGCAATAAAGCACTGTTCCTGTCAGCAAGGTGTTTTCCTCAAGAGATCATGTTTATAACTGGAAATCAAACCGAGTTACAAATCAGCAAAAAAAGTGCTGGTGGGCCTTATTCCAGCCTTCTGACCCTGGGGCTAGGCCTTCACCTCCCCATAATCTTCCTTCCCTTCCTCTTGTCATCCAAGCAGTCATTTTACATTCCTCCACTGCCAAACACCTAGAGAGGACTGAAAAGCTCAGCTGCAACTAACCCCTTGGTTAGAGACTCATGCCATTGTCCTGCCCTTTGTCCCATCCTAATCACCTTTTTGTTTCAAAAAGGAGGGAATTCTGAAAATGTCTCATTCATCTCTCATCTTGCAGTTTCCAGATACCATTCTGCAAATAGCAAAGATGGCTGGGCCAGCTCCTCTACCTGAAGAGTTCCTATCTACTGTATTTGAAACTGTTCACAACTCTACTGTCCTCATTGCAGCATCTAACCATGGGACTGGTGAGTATTTTTGTTGTGTCAGAAGGACAAGTTGATAATGCTGATATTTTTGGTTGTGCTTCTGCAGTCTGAATGGTCTCTTGGGTTTACTTTGTCATGAAATCCATCTTGAGAAATGGCAACTGAAAGCACAACCTCAAGCATTTTAGAGGTTCAGTCTTTCAGAACAATCGGTTGGTTTGTATTATTGTCTAGCTAATGAAACACTTTGTTCCATTAAAAATATGCAGCTAAATATCTACTGAAAGGCCTGGGGGTGCTTGGAGGAAAAAGATGCATGATTTTTTGTTAAGTTTTAGTTTTGTTTTGTTTGGTTTGCTGGTAGAAATGAAACTTCCATGAATTGAGAGATACCGAAGATGGGCAAGATATTGAGCCAAGAGATTGCACTCATTTAATCTTTTGTCAGATGTCAGTATATGTTGACTTGGCTATTCTGAATGTGACAAATGGTGCTATATTCTAGCTGTCTACATGGACTAAATGTGTTGTAATCTAAAATTTATGTTAATCTGTAGTGACTACATTCAAGTGTTCACTGTACAGGAGATCTTGTGCCAAATGGAGTCTATCTTCTGTATGTCTTACGTACTTCAATTTTACATTAGTGTTTCTGTAACAATAATTTCTATGGGCTTCGGGTGCCATAGCAGTCCTTTTGCCCCAATATCTCATCCATACATGTGCAAGGATGAGTCTGTATAGAGCCCCACTTAAACCCAGAGGAGAAATGCCAGATTTGCTATGGTAGTTGGAGAATGAATTTAGCCCCACAGTATGCCAACCTTTTTATGAGCCACCTGGAAGAAGACTTCCTCAAGAACTGCACCATCAAACCCTTGCTATACTTAAGATACATCGATGACATCTTCATCATTTGGACTGAAAACCTGCAATCTCTGATTGAGTTCCATCATAAATTCAGCAGTCACCATCCCTCCATCCGACTTTCTTTAGAATACTCCAGCACCAACATCTCCTTTTTAGACACAATGATCAGTATCCAGAAGGGTAAAATAAAGACCACAGTATACAAGAAACCCACAGACCAACATACGTATCTGCACAGAACCAGCAATCACCCTAAACACACCAGAAAAGCTGTGATATACAGCCAAGCCCTCAGATACCACCGCATTTGTACTAAAGAGAACACCTGGGATTGCCACCTCATCAATCTCAAAAAGGCTTTCACCCAACAAGGACACTCGTCCAAAGAGGTAGATCGCACGTTTGAAAGAGCCACCCGGATACCACGTGAAGAACTGCTGCAGTACAGAAGAAAATCCCCCACAAATCGCACCCCGCTGGTTATGACGCATCACCCCTCCCTTGAACCTGTACGGAAAATCCTCAAAAAATTGCAACCCATACTAGAAAGAGACCCTATTCTTAAAAAGATCTTCCCAGAGCCACCCATTCTAGCCTTCAAACAAGCACCGAACCTCGCCAACCTCATCACCAGAAGCAAACTTCCTCAAGCCCAGAACACACCAAAAGGATCCAGACCGTGCCAGGACAAGAAATGCAAAACCTGCCAACACATCTCCACCACCCCCACTATTACTACACCCCACAACAGAGCCATCAGCATCCCAGGGTCTTACAGCTGCACCTCCAGAAATGTAATATACCTCATCCAATGCACCAAATGCCCTGATGGAAAATACGTAAGAGAGACCAAACAACAACTGTGCACCACAATGAACGCACACCGGAAATGTATCAAAAACAGAAATACCCAATTACTGGTGGGGGCACATTTCTCACAGGAGGGCCACTCTCTCTCCAATCTCTCAGTCCTGATCCTCAAGGGAAACTTACACAACACTTCCCAGAGACGAGCCTATGAACTCCATTTCATCAACCTCCTGGATACTAGAGATCATGGACTAAACATAGACATTGGATTTTTAATACATTATAATCTGCCTGGCAACTGACTCCCCAGCCCAGCCCAGCCCCTGGCTTCTTTACTTTTCATTCCATCCAGGAAGAGCGCACACCAACTGCTGAAGCTTCCTTAGCCTGACGAAGGGTTTTTGAACAAAAAAGCTTGCTTAATAACTATTCTCCAACTATTTGGGTTGTTCTAATAAAAGATATCAAATTCACCCAAGGAACCTTGTCTGCCCTTATAATGGGACATTCATGTACAAAAGGATGCAATGTGACTGTACACTTAGACTGCTGTGTTTTTGCCTCAGTTCAACAAAATAATGAGCTGTGGTATTATTCCAGATATATGCTGATGTAGAAAAGCAGAATCTGACCCAAAGGGGATAGCCGTGCCTTTAGGTGATTCGGCATTTCTGTGGAGGATGGATGAAATTCACCCCTTCTTGCACCAGGAAACTATAAATCCAGGAAGCATAAATCAAACTTATTTCCACCCTGGGGTGTGCCACAAATTTGAGGACCCCAACCCACCTATTTCAGCTTGCCTTCTGCTTCCTTTAGGATGTGTTTTAGGATGTGGTCACAATATCATAGATCAGTGATTCTCAACCTTTTTAGACTTGAGGCACTTCTCAAAAATCTTGAGGCACCCCTCAGAAAATTTTTAACTACAGAAGAATAATAGAGGATTTTTTCTGTTGCAGAGAACTCAGAGAAATCGCAATACTATAGATTCCTATTTGAAAACACTGGGTTTATCTTATGAACTGTGTTTGTACACCTAACAATGCTAAAACTGTTCGGCACCCTGCAGCACCTTTGAAAGGATCTCAAGATACCCCAGGGTGCCACAGCATGTTTGTTGAGACTCACTAGTATAGATCCAGAAGCCTTCCCTTATTTTGCTTCACCCAGGGGCCCCTCTGCATTCAGGGCTGGTGTAAGGAGCCCCTGTCTGCAGTAGGTAACCAATAGTGACCCCCTCATGCAGCTGCTCTCCCCCACCAAGGGATGTGCAGTGGTATGGAGCACATAAATGTTTTCCCCAGTATGAATTAGTTTGACCAGTGAGGAAGCTGAATGTGGAAAAATCCGGGACTTTTTTTTATTTCTAAAACCTCCCCAAAACAGGAAATGCTTTTAGAATCACAGCTGATCTAATATTAATCTTCATAATTTGGCAGCAACAGTATCATATAGCACTAAGAGCTGAGTTTTCATCTCTATTTCCAGACGATTAAAAAATACTCCTGAAAGTGTGTGTTGTTTTAAGCCCATTTTTTACAGATGGGAAATCCAAGGCACACATAGTAAGTAATTTACCCAAGGTCAACAGCAAAGCAGCAACAGTGCTAGAAACAGAAAGCAGTCCTGAAATGCTATTATATATGTTAAAATGGAAACATTTAAACAAATCTTTCCCATTCACACTAAGTTAAAGTAGATTTGATTACATCAACAACAAGTATGAAACAGCATCAGATACAGGACACACAATCAGAGTTGTAATGAGCATTTCTTGCCAGCAGATCTGGTGTGTTCCAAGTAATGAAATCAAAGGTTTTTCCAAGGATAAAGAAATACTAGGTTTTGTGTCTTGGAACTCTATTGTGTCTGCATTGGCAGCATTTACATTAAAAAAGTTGACCTTTTGCAGGGGAGGAAAGTGAAACAGTCCTGCTTTATATGAGACCAGTTTAAAAAGCAAGTAGAGAAGTCAGCTGGTACAGTAGAAGCTAAACAGCTATTGTGTTTGCTCGACAGATTTGGTCTTTTCAGTGTTCTACCGGCTGCTCCAGCTTTCTTTGATTCCAGTAAATTCTTCCCCTGCCTCCTTTCAAAAGATAAATCTATTTTATATATCCTTGCTTTAATCTGTTTAGGTAGGGAAGCTCAGCTCAGAGGCAGCATCTATGGAGTTTTGCTTTTCCCTGGTGATGGCCAAATCTGAAAACATTCAGATATTGTTTGTTTTTGATAATTGCTGAACAAGTTTCCTAAACTAGAAGCAGGAGAGGGGTTAGGAAGAGATCATGTTAGGATGCTAGGCTCTCCTATACATCAGAGACAGCCTAAAAAAGAAGCAGGTTTGTCAAAACACAGAGTGACAACACTGTTCTCGGAGACCCAGAATCTGTCCTTGCATCAGATTTTTTACCATATAGTTTAGCTGCTTGGTAGTTCTGCTGTAAATAAGCATCTCTCTCAGGTTTTCTAATTCCTGGCATTTTAACACTGTGCTTGACAAAAAATGAGCCAGGGGAATTTTCCGGCATGCTTAAATTCTCTAGGCAGTGCCTTGTTTAAATATCCGACATCTTTCCAGACATGCATGTCTGTACGTGTCTTTCAAAAAGGAAAGATCAGTCATACCTGCTGTTAGGCTAGCTGGTGAGTTGGATTTAATAAGTCCTGTTTGAACAAGAATAAGCAGGTTCAGTTTATTCAGCTGCAATATTTTCGTGTAAATAAATGTATACAATACAGGTACATGGAAACTTTTTATTCCACTGAAGTCAGCAGAAGGTTTCACCTCCAAATGTGGCCCTGAGGAATTTAGAATGACACATCTGAAAACTCTTAAGCTGATATTCTAGCTGTTGCAAGCAAGTGTTGTTTTAGTAAGGTGTTTTATATAGTCACTGGTTAATCTGCCCCTCCTTTCCTTTCCAATACACATTGTCTTCAAGGAACAAAGCACATAACTAATTAGGTAAATGCCAGTTTTAGATAAAGAATATCAGTTGCATATGATTCTTTAAAATATATATTTTTATTTCATTGTAAGAACATTGGATGCTTAACTTATCAAGATAGTCCTGGCCAGAGTTATATCATGATATGTTACCATCATAACAAGACAGCATAAGGCTTCATTGCTTTGATTTTTGCATCAGAATTCTTAAATCAGTCCCCTTGAAGAAAGCTCTTCAAACTGTGTTTTGTTTTCTTTCCAGGTTGTATAGGAATCAGAGCTCCCTCTTCAGATGAGATTATTAAGTTAGGAGAAGCAAATGCCTTTTGGTCAGTTCAAGAACTGCAGTGCATGGGCACAGACACTTTTATCAAAAATGTGGAACTCCTTGGGACTGTGACAGGTTTCAACAAATCCCAGCTTATTGCTTTGAAGGAGAAAGCTAAGCAGGTAGCTATTACATCTCCAAACGAAAATACATCCATATTTTATTGTTGAAGTCTACATTACTAAAGTAACTGTTGCTTCAGCATTATTGTTGCTTCAGTAATACCTACAGTTTTTTTGAGAAATAATCTCAAATGGTATCAGATATCTTAAAGGAAAATTTGTATTAGTTTAGAGTCAACAGGCTAAATTGGACTGAGCTGCTGGTTGCTGAATGAGTTAAATGCTTCACTTTTGAATCCCTGTTTTAGCTACTTTATTCCTGTTCTTTCAAAACTGAAAAATCATAAGCCAACATCAAAGGCTATTACTCAGCCTGCTGAGAAGCAAGCTCAGAGTGTTGGTATATCTTGGTGTTTTAAACAACATGTTAAACTAACCTGATTGAAAAGTCTTTTCCTATTCAGGACAAGGCTAGTATTCTCACCATCACTATCTCTTTTGGAACTCAATGACAACAACAAGTGAGGGAAATTTTAGGTGGAAAAGAGCCCAAACACTTAGAGTGTTTATATGCGTGCTCTGGGAGTGGTGGGGGACACTTTAATTAGAGCGGCTCTGAGAGCTCCTCTAATTAAAACATCTGGAGCATCTCCTGTATCGGCATTCCCACACTTAAAAATGGCAGTGGGGCACTTTAACTAAAGCTCGTCAAACAAGCTTTAGATAAAGCACCCCCACTGGCCTTTTTAAGTGCAGGTTCACTGATGCAAAAGACACTGGAAGCTTCTGGAGTGCAGTAATTACCACTCTCCAGCAGACAGTGCATTAGAGCAGCCTCACTGCTTGTGTATAGGCACCCATAGGCTGAATCTTCACTGATATAAAAAGGCAGAGTTTTTTTACCCTGGGATAACTTTTGTGTATTAGTTACCTAACCGTAAAAGCAGGGTAGTGATGAAACACCTTAATTTTTCCACCACATCAGTTATGGACAGATTGGAAGTATGGCACTTATCTATCTCCCTCATGGTGGACGCTAAAAGTGTTTTGTTTCCACTTAGGATTGCACAGCAGGAGAACTGCTGCTGGTTGGTATCTCACTATAAATGACCTAACTTCACATCAATCAAGACAAAGATAAAGCCAAAAAATGGAAGTTCAAGCAGCATGAGTCAGGTCTAGCTTTTCAAGCTGATGATGAGTTAGGGGGTGGGAAATGGTTCAACTCTGATTTCCAAATGTTATGGTTCCTCCTACAATGGGAAATTCTATGTCTGCTAATTTGGCAGAGTGGGTCAACATGTTGTGTAATAAAAATACCCTTCTGGAGATACTGCCTCTTCCAAAATGAAGATACATGACCAGGAAGAAGAGTAAACATCTCAGAAAAAAAGAGCATTATTTATCTGAGTAGGTTGGAAATTTAAAAAGATATTACCATAGTTTCATAAGTTCATAGTAGCTAGGGTCAGGAGGGACCTGAACAGATCATCCAGCCTGACCCCCTGCCACAGGCAGGAATGAATGCTGGGTTCACAAGACCCCAGACAGGTGATCATCCAACCTCCTCTTGAATTTGCCCAAGGTAGGGGCGAGGACCACCTCCCTGGGAAGTTGGTTCCAGATTTTGGCCACCCTAACTGTAAAATATTGCCTTCTGATCTCTAACCTAAACCTATTCTCCATCAGCTTATGACCATTGTTCCTCGTACTGTACCACAGTACAGTTGAATGGCTTCCTTGCAGAGTGATAGAGAAATTGCCAATGAAATGAATATTCCTATTTCCTAGCTGTATTCAGTTAAAAGATACGTAGGCCTGTAATGCACCGAATAAAAATCTTTCAGTCAGTGCAGGCATTTGTAAGAAACACTGCAGCTCGGCAGGAAGCAACGAACTTTCTATATATTAATTTGTCAGAAATACTACAGGGTTATACTGAATACAAAATATGAGGAATGAACAAGTATAAGCCAGGCTGCTAGAGTTGATTGAAATCATATGCATGAGATGCTGTACAGTATACTGTTAATCACAGGGCAGCTTTGATGAAAGGCTTGAAGAAACTGGCTTTATTTCCTCTAAATGAATTCTCAGAAAGAGTTTGTAATTCTGTGTTTCCAAAATAATGCAAGGAATTCACAGTTAACTGATTGTGGGCTAATGAAACTAAGCTTAACCCACTTATAATTGGGAAATCTCCAAATCTCTGTGCTTTGACATATGTATAAATGAGTTTTTTGTCTCTTGTTGAATGGGGTAAGATCCCTTTCAGTTTTCATTCTACCTTATGTTCAGATCTACATGGCTAATGTTTCATGTGTCCTATCCTGCACTGTGAATCCATACTGCCTGAGAACATTAGTTGTAAACCAGTTCAGAACTGTCTTTATTTCATAACCACGTCAGATATGAACAGTTTTAAACATGCAAAAAAAAATCTAATTATGTGTCATTCATGTACTACTTTATCTAGCAAATCAAGATTTTTAATACTGGGGCTTATACATATTACCATGTTTAATCATCTTTGTAGAAGATTAAAAGGTCTTGGGTTCGATACTGTGTACATTATAGTTGCTTTATGCAGTCATAACTGGTCAGATAGATTCTCTCAGGCTAAGGAAGGTCAGTGTTTAATGTAGGGCAGGGCTAGCCAACCTGTGGCACAGATGCCACAAGTGGCACAGAAAGCCTTCGTATGCGGCACACAACAGATCAAGGAGGGAACAGGAAGCAGAAAGCAGCAAATTGGGCAGGGAGCATAGGGAAGGAAGTGAAAAGCAGAGCAGCAAATCAGGCAGAGAGCATAGGGTTGGAAGGAGAAAGAGCAGCAGATTAGGCTGCTCCAAAGGGGATCAGAGTTGCACTTGAGGAGAGTGTGCAGCTAATTTGTGGCATACCTGCCAAAAAGGTTGCCCACCACTGATGCAGAGCAAGCAAAACTGCCTCCCCAGAGCCTTATATAGGAGACATATTTGAAGAAAAGGGTTACACCAGGCTTACCTCTGTGCTCCACCAATACTTGACTGTAATAATGTCTCCATGAAGCCACTGTCAGCCAATGCAATTTAGAAAAGCTCTAAGGCTGCCCCAAGTTTCATTTGAATATTAGAAAAACTTTCCAAGGATATAATAAAACAACTATTTTTGTGCATGGTCCCAAGCTCTCCTGGGTGTCAAAAATCCTGTTCCCAATGATTTGGTCCTTTTTCACTTTATTTCTCTTTAGTTTGTGTAGTATCATCTTCAGGGGATCTGAAATTGGAACTGGAGTTCATCTTCAATAGGTACCCCTTTTTCACCTTTCAACCAAATGTGAATTTCTAGAAAAATAACTCCCCTGTGTCAGAATGGTATGAGGTGTTTGTTCAGACCAGGGTTGGCCTTCTAGATCTATTTCTCTACACAGCATTAGCACCAGGCTCATCTTTGAACATCACATTATGGAGGAACTGACATGATGAGAGGTTGCTGCTATTCCAGAGGCCATGGTGGAGAACATAGGCTTGTCTGATTTTTTTTTTTTTTTATTATTATTTATTTATTTATTTATTTATTTTTTGAGACGAGCGTATTTCATTGTTTGGGGGGACACAATTGCTGATTATTCAAACAAACAGTCAAAAGATGTCTACTCTGCAGTAGCGGTAGCTTGGGTAGATCCATCACAAGCTAGCTTTAACCTTACTAGCTTGAAAACTGGTAGCATTGTACCATAGTGGCATGGCATAACATATAGCCTAGGTGCCAAATATTTACCCACTCTCTAGGCTGAAGCAGCCACTCCCCTCTGCTGTGTGCAGCAGGGTCCTTCCCCCAGCCCCTCAGTGCAGCCGGGTCCTGCCCTTTCTAGGGCTGGGTCCATTCAGTCTCCCCCACAAGGTATGGGGGCTTGCCCTGCCCCTGGCAGTGGGAGCACCAGGAGAAGAAGGAGCCCTTCCCCAGCTGAAGTCCAGCTCCCAGGACCTCGGGCCCAGTTTCTCCAGGCCCAGAATGGTCTCATGGCACTGCCCTGGGCAGAGGGAGGAGAGTGGGGAGCCTGGCCCAGAGACCAGCCAGTCCTGGGCAGCCAGGAAGGATCGCATCTTCCCCCTCAGCCTTGCTGCCCCTGGCCTGGGGTTCAAAGGCATCATGCAGAAGAGCAGGGGCTGAAGGGCTCCACGCAGCCAGTTGCAGGAACTGCTAGGCTTAGCCCCTCCTGCTGCAACTGGCTCGGGAACTTTTACATGTGCTCCGGGAAATGGGGGGCAGCACTTTAATTAGAGCGGCTCTGAGAGCCACTCTAATTAAAGTGCCACTGCATCTCCTGTACAAATGTCCCCACGCTTAGAAATAGCAGTGCTCCTTCATGTGCATGTGTGTGTTATAAATGTAAAACAAGCAAAAAAGGTTTGTTTATGTCAGTAATTTAAAATACCTTGCATTATTACTAAACATTGGTTATTGGATCAGCATAGGCCAATATGGTTGGTTAATAATCGGCCAAAACAATCTTTATCAGTGCACCCCTAGTTACAAGGTAAGGTAACAAAATACAGTATAGTAACCAGCTTCTCCACCCTAGAACTGGAAGTGCTTGATTTTTTTTGTAACATCCAAGCTCTGCTTATGCCAGACAGAGCAGCATAAGCAGACCAGAGAGTCTGGCCCATAACGTTTATCTTTGGTCATTATTTTTTTCAGATCAGAGAATGGGGCATGCCTGTGAGTCTTCGTCATAAACTAATAGATATTGTGTGTTGATGATTTTATTTTAAAGGTTTGGGGCATGTTGCCAGATTGGAAGAAATATCATATTATTTCCCTTGGGTACATTGCCCTAGCTCTCAACGAGAGTGAGATACGGGAGTTGGATTTGAATTCTATTGATACTGTTGCTGCACTTAGTCAACAAACAGAATGGACTCCTGACCAGGTAAGTGTTGTAGTGAATTTATTGCTGGTAAAAGGCCCTAAATGAGTGTCCCTCCAGACTGAAGTTGTAGGATTTCCTACAAAACAGGTACAACACACCACACCCTTCCAGATTTCCAGTTCCTCCCCTGCACCCTCCTTGAAATGGTAGATTAGTGCTGTTCCTTGGCCTCCCTAGCAAGGTGTCCAAGAAGGATGGCAGTAAGTACAACCTGAGGTAGAGTTCACTGTGTTGGAACATTTGTTCACTTAGAATTAGTATGAGGCTGCCAACTCCTCTTATACCAGCTTCTAAGCATGTAGCAGTTGATACAAACTACTAGTCTATTCTGACTGAGGCTCAAGTCAGAAGTACCAGTAGCCAGCCTTTAACACCTCCTCCACCTCTCCCCCAGACAAAAACATTCTAGTACCTATGCAGGTAAATTATTACTGCTTATTCCATTCAGATACTTGTTCACTACCTCTTTTCAATTCTCTGTTTGCCTGAATGGCCCCATTAATGTCAGTGGGATTTACATGGCGTATGGAGGGAAGATTAAAAGGCTTTTTGTATATGCAATGAGCAGCACATTTCTGCCTGTGTGATCTTGCCATCACATCTCTTCGGTGTATGACATTAGGATGGCAGTATCTAGTAGGGCTGTGTGAGGCTTCGGACCGTGCTTCGGATCCAGAGAAGCTTTGGATGCTTTGGTGTCCGAAGCGGCATGTCTGGATCGAAGCACTGGCTTCATTAGGCTTTCCAAAGCATTTTGGAAAAGCTTTGGAGCCGCCTCGGAGATTTGGCCATAGGGTATAATGGGAAATCAATGAAATATCTATAACTTTGTTGTTTTTTGTCTGATGTGGATGAAATTTGCAGGGATGGTAGCCTCTGCTGAGACCACAAAGCCTACCAAGTTTCAAGAAGATCAGTGCAGGGGTTCAGGGGTAACTGCACCCCAAATTCTTGAAAGAAAACTCATGTCACGTCTATGTGTTACAACGCAGGGGGTTGAAAACTGCAGGGGTGGTAGCCCCTGGTAAGGCCACAGAACTCCCCTGCACCAATCTCCTCAACAGCTGGCAGGTTTTGTGGCCTCAGCAGGGGCTACCATCCCTGCAGCTTTCACCCTGCTGCGCCTTAACACACACAGTGTCACCCATGTCACAAGTTTTGCTTGTCCTCAGCTTGAGGTGCAGTTTCCCCCAAACCCTGCACTTATCTCCTTGACACTTGGCAGGCTTTGTGGCGCCTTGCGCCTGCGCCCCCGCCCCTGCAGTTTTCAGCCCGCTGCGCCTTACCACACACAGGGTCATCTATGTCACAAGTTTTGCCTGTCAGCAGCTTGAGGTGCAGTTCCTTCCAAACCCCTGCACCGATCTTCTTGAATCATAGCAGGCTTCATGGCCTCACCAGGGGCTACCAACCCTACAGTTTTAACCCCCGTGGCGTAATACATACACGTGACATAAGTTTTGCTTTCAAGAATTTGTGGTACAGTTCCCCCCAAACCCCTGCACCGATCTTCTTGAAACTTGGCAGGCTTCATGCTCTCAGCAGAGGCTACCTTCTCTACAAGTTTAATCTAAATCAGACAAAAAACAACAACATTATAGATATTTCATTGATTTCCCCATTATACCCTATGACCGGATCTCTGAGGCGTCACCAAAGCTTCAGAGCTGCTTCGGTCAGATCAAAGCGGGAACCCGGTCTGGAGCTCTGGATCGGATCCCTGGCATCCGAAGTGGACGGATCTGAAGCCGGATCAAATAGCTGCCTACTCACACAGGCCTAGTATCTAGTACTGGCAAAATATCACAAACCTCTTTATAGATGCTTTGGCTGAAGAGCCAATAAAAGAAGGAAACAGAAGGCACTGGAGTGTTTTTATATATACAGTGCTACTTCACTTTTGAGATTTCCTGTTGTGTTTTAAGAAATGCAGTCATTTACTGACTTGAGCATAGGTTAACATCTTCATAAGACACTTAAACAGGATAAGTTAATGTTTAGGATCCTTAATAACTTAATATTGATTGCTTAGCAGATTTCAGATTTTCTTCGGGGGGGTTAGCTCTACTTAACATTAACCATTTTTTTCGGCTGAATTAAATATGGGCAGTTTTGTGACTACTTCAGTGGTATCCACTCTGTGGAAGAATTTGTTTGTAACCCAAAGATGGAAAGGGCTGAGTGATCTCAGGTTGTGCTGTATGCTTGCCTCACTCTCTGGGAGGCAATACTCAGCATTGCTCAGGAGGCACTAAGCATGTGATCTCCACTGACATTGCTCCTACTGAAGGCAATGGTATAACTCCCACTGACTTCAGGGGATGCAGGCTCAGGCCCCGTTTAATAACATCCAGGCCAATTTGTAATAGCTGGTGTAGATAATGTCTTCCTCTAGCAGAATCTTATAATGCCTGCATGCTGTCCTTGCATGATGTCTCATTGTTTTTGCAGGCTACATCTATTTTACAAGGGTTTCTGGAAGACTCTAGTCAGACAGTCAATGAGTTGAAAAGCTTTCATTTAGCAGGATTAGGAGCTAATCTTTGTGCCCTGAATACTACAGACATCAAGTCCATCAGGATTACAGAATTCAGGTAGAAACATTTTACTGATATTGGGTATGTGGAGTTTGTCTTCCCTAAAGGATTTCCAGAGCACCATATCTGGTGACATTTTTCTGACACTTTAAACATTTGTCAGCAGGTCATAATCTTTGGTATGGTGTCTACATGTGCCCTTGTGAGCATCAGCAAAGCTCTGGGTGTAGTGAAACTTGTACAGAGCCCATCCTGGGATATATAACATCCCATCCCATCCCATCTCTTCAATCACTTAAAAAATATCACCAGATTTTTATATACAGCATTACTCAGCCTTTATGTTAGAAACCCCTGGATTAGGCAACTGATTTAAGTGGTGCCTGGACTGGTGGTTTAAAATAGGTCCCAACGTAGTATTTATAAATCCTCTACCCCATTTAAATCCAAACATGAGTATTGCATTGAAAAACTTGAGCTTGTTGTTCAAGCATACTCATTTTTAAAAGGTTGACAACACTTTAAATATTACTTGCAATATGTGCACCCTGATTTTTTCCTAAAGCTAGGATAAACTTGGCTAGTGTAGATGAAGTGTGTTGCAGGCCTTTTAAATGCTGGTTGTGATGATTACTGTACGTGGCGCTAAGCCTGTTGTTCTTTTGCAGTGCTGTTGTTTCCAGAGTTGGTATGTTGACTTGCAGTACTCCCCTTCTGCAAGAGTTTAAGAAGATGGCAGAATCTGTGTTTGGAATTGCCACAGGATGGAACAGCTCTGTAATGCATGAAATTGGGACCATCGCAGGTAACAAGACCCAGACTTCTATCAGTGATATTTTTAAAATACCATCTGTACGTAAAAAAAAAAAGTCCATGTTCATTCCATACTTTGCACCTCTGCATTAGCAAGAGATGCTATAACTAGGAGTCATCTTCAGGTACAGTCAGGCAGTTTTTTTTATTGAGGTCTTCCACAGAGAAAACCATGTGCTCAAACTCAGAATCCAGAGTTTGGCCCTATATGTTTATAGGGGTTGACTATAGGCAAATCAGGGCCCATGCAAAACAATAGCCAAAGTTCAAGTGCACCCTCCTCAATGGGTTGCTCTTCTTGCTCCTGGGTCTTACTTCTAAGCGAGATGGTCTACTAGCTTTGCAGCAGATGGGTATCCAGCTGAGTACCATGCTGCCCCCAGCTGCTCTTTCTGCCAAAACTGGTTCTCTCTATTAGTAGGGTCCAGGAATCCTAGATGAAGTTGCTCATATGAGGGCATTTCCACTGATGTAACCAGGAATTGAGTGCAGAACTTTGGATGCTCTTTACTTACTCAGGGCATGTGATCAGGCAAACTTGCCAAGCTGGTGCTGAATGTCACAACCCAGTGATTTTGGTGCCTTGGCACGATGGAATTTTCCCGACACATGAGAGGCTCTTGCCCAGGAAAGGACTTTCAGGACACA